GGGTATAATTTCGCATATAAATACATACAAATAATTTTTAATTGGGGCCGGAGACTAAAGAAAACAATAATTTAGAAAAAAATGTTTAATAAAATCTTAGATAATACATATGTATAACAAATTAGGCCTATATTATTTTACAATTTTTCACATTTACTGGATTATTACGCCATAATTTTAACATTGTTTCCATCTCAGCGATAATACTATGACGTTTACGAATGATGCTCGAATTTAAAGATTGAGCATTTTTCACAGCTTCAAGAATTTTTTTTTGCCTTTTATAATTGTTCTGTCCGACAATTCCGGTAGATCAAACTTTGCCAATTCACAAATTTTTATTTTTGTATCGAAGTCTTTAATAATGGGTACGTTCGTAAAGTCAAACGAGTTAAACGCGTTAGTAACGAATCGTTCGAAAAGACTAACGAAATAGGAATAACGATGACGTCATTCTCGTTTAACTCGTTCGACTTTACGAGTTAAACGAGAATGCCCAATGTTAACTTTACATTCCAAAGATAAAGTTTTTCTTTCCTTGTTTGATGCAGAAGAATTAGTTCTACTTCGTTTGGATGACATAGTAGAGTCTCCGTAGATATAACAAACACAGAAATAAATAACACAAAATAAATTGTAGCTGTGTGTGGATTCCGCGCGACACATCCGAACATGTAAGTTGAACAATAGTGTGGGGGTAGTGAGTAATCAAGAATTGCGTGGCGCTCAAACAAAAGACGAATCGACGAGATTTGAAAATCGCGTAAGTCGGGGTATTACTGTATACTACAGATTTGATTAACTTAAGGTTATATAAATGATGAATTACGGAGATAATTCTATTCTAGTTCTAATCATTTAAGTTTTATCTCACTCAGTGTTGAAGGACATACTTTCGTTTTGGGCTACTAACAGAAAAATAGGACCACAATCTACAGATAAATAGGTTTATTTACTTACGTTTAGTCTAAATACAACTATCGGTCAAGGTGGCAGCCTACCGCATTGGGGGACCCGGGATCGAATCCGAAATCCCCAGAAATTTTTCGGGCCCGTCCCTCACCACCCGGCCGCCCCATTGTGGGTCTGGCTGAATCTATATTGGGTTTGCTAAAAGAGGCCCTCTTAGTGCCCACAGGGCGGAAAATGTTAAAAAAAAAGAAACTCAACTTTCCTCGCTAACCAAAAGAGAACGGAAGTATATCACTAGTAATGTGTGAATGTGTCGTAATTAAGCAAATGGAAACTACAGTAAAGTTACTACTTGCGGAAAATTTGAGACATGAAACAAGGAAAACTTTCGTTTTCTGAAAATGTAGAATATCCCTTCACGGAAAACAGAAATTCGAATTGCTTAAACTTTTTTTAAACTCCGCTCTTTGGGCAGTGTGAGAATCTCTATAGTAAGCCCATTACGGATTCGGCCAGAACACAATCGGGTGGCCGGGTGATGAGAGACGGGCGCCCCAATATATCTAGATTGACCACTCGCGATAAAACCCAGGGGTTTTCCAACACGTCCTGATCGTTCCTGGATCCTCACAGCGATAGGCTGATACTGATACCTTAACTGCTCGGAATCTTTAATGGCCGTCACAAAATGGACATTTCGTGACGGCCATTTGGTAATAATATCGTAGCTAATTATTCAATGAATAACTTTTTTATGGGTGAAAATGTATGCCATTGATGAATACTTCCATGAGAAAGGATTTACAGTATGTAGATATCGTATAAAGTGATATCAACATTGAAAAATGTAGTCATTTCAATGAATTCGCGATTGAAATCGACGATAGAAATCGCGATTGAAATCGACTATAGACGGCAGTTCGATCTTAACAACAAGGTGGGATGAATAGTATATAGTTGTGTTTAACATTATAAATATATAAAAATCCAAAGTAGGGCCGTCGAAATCTTAGTATAGGATCCAGAAAAAAGCGGGCATCTTTTTCTTTCTTTTTTTAAATAAGTAGTGAATGTTATTTTGCTAACGAAAAATAAAACATTTAATATATATGGTTTTTTATTCTCCACCCTGTGGGCACCGAAAGGGGTTTTTCAATCCCATCTGGGGTCGGCCACACCTACAATAAAAAATGGCCCTTGGGAGACTGTGTCCAACATATCCGAACGGACTACTCCCCGAAAAATTCATGGTGTTTTCGACCTGTCTGGGCTCCTTTCCGGGGCCCCGAAGCGGTAGGCTGACATCTTAACCGCTCGGCCACTCGGCCTTCTATTTTTAGGGAGTAGGACCCCAAATTTTCTCTGCATCCTGGGGAAAATCCTCAGTTTCCCTTTCGACGGCCTGATGACAATGCATAGTTCAACTATTAGGTATTTTTTCAAAAATTGCTATTAAGCATTATATTAGCGTGTTCGGGGAGAAATAAAATGGTATTTTTTCGAAGAAGAAACCATATTCGATGTAAACCATTTAATGACGCATCAACTTCGACGCGAAACAAGTATATTGTCTTGAAAGAAAATTTTTAATTTCTTGTAATCGAAGGTATTTAATGAATTTGTATAGTAAAAATAAAATAAACTCATAAAAATACGCAAGTCGGTATCGATACAATAGCGTACAATATGTAAAAGAATTAGTCAACAATTAGTCAAAGAAAGTTCTATAATTAAACGCTGTATCGTTTTACTAATATTAAAACAATAACATTTTCAGATAAAGGCAATGGCATTTATTATATCTTTGGACTCAAGATTAAACTCTGAATTAAAAGTAGAAGTTTCTTTATTTGGTGTCCTGTCATCCTCTGGACTCTTTTGAATATAATTGTGAAAATGTACAATATGAATACAATAGATAATATATGAATAATAGATTTTGTGAATATAATAGATTAAATATAAATATATCAAGATACAAACAAGACAGCAAACGATATCAAACAACTTAAAAAGTGATATCAAATACTGTAATAGTTTTCTATTGTATTCATGTAATACTTTTAAAAATATTTTATCTATATCAGTTTTATCAAATATGTTTTATCCTTATCTATATCATCTGGCAATATATAATTAATTCTGGCATATGAAAATACAAAGAGCAAACAGAAGTAATATTGTTATTTTTCAGAATTTTATCAAGCTGTTAAT